CATTCATTCATTCGGGTTCTTGAGTTCTAAATAAGGGAGGTGAGTAACAGATTATCTCGGTTTACTGGTGATCTAGTTAAGAAAAGAAAAAGGCGCCGGGCGTTGGTGGTGCACGCCTTTAATCCCAGCACTCAGGAGGCAGAGGCAGGCGATCTCTGAGTTTAAGACTAGCCTGGTCTCCAGAGCGAGTGCCAGGACAGCCTCCGAAGCTACAGAGAAACCCTGTCTTGAAAACAAACAAACAAAAAAGAAAAAAGAAAAGAAAAGAAAAAGGCAAGTTCAATCCCAAAGACTTAAAGCTAACTCCATAAATCAGCTCTTTGAGAGAGGACCCAGGGTTCAATTCCTAGCACCCACATGGTAGCTCTCAACAGTCTAACTCGAGGATCCAACATCCTCACACAGGCATACATTCAGGCAAAACACCAATGTATACAAAATTAAAAATAAAAAATAAAAAACAAAACAAAAACCCAACTCTAGCACCAATGCTATATAGTAAAATCTTCAGACTGGATGTTCTCTTGTTTTTTTTCTTTTCTAGGCAGGGTCTCTCTACATAGTTCTGGAACTTGCTGCATATACCAGGCTAGCTTCCAAATTCAGAGATGCTGAGACTGGTTCCTTGTTGCTTGTTTATAATCTAGGTATTTCCTAAACATGTTTAAAGTAATTTTTATACAGCAAAAGCAATACAGTAGCAAATCTACTGACAACACAGCTTAGTCATTTGATGTTAAAAGCCTCTAGTGCCAGGTGTGGTCACCTACACATATAAATCCTAGGACTCAGAAAATTGAGACCGGAAGAGGAGTGGTGTGAGTTCAAGGCCAGTCTGGGCTACACAATGAGCTCAAGATAAGACGTGGCAAGAGACTAGACCTGGTCTCAAATGAACAAACCCAGGATGGTGGTACATGTTTGTGTTGGCATTAACAAGGCAGAGGCTACCTAAGACTGAAAGTTCAAGGTCATTCTCAGTTACCTACTGAGTTTGAGACCAGACTGCAGTTACACAAGAGTCCATCTTTAGAAGAGAAAGAAATAACAAAAAAATCCTTGTTCCTTGGTAATACTTAGAACCCTGAAATGGTCTTAGAAAGACAAGAATTTTACAGCTGTGATATACAGACTAAAAATATGATTGACACATACAAAGATGTTACTTAAAGTCTTTCCTGCAGTTTTGGGGAGTGGGTGGTGGACGAGTGTCCTTTTCCAATAAAACAAGCAGTAAGAGATAGTAGTCAAGCTATTCTTTCAACATATTTCATTTTCTCCTCCACTCTCTTCATGCAACAAAACCTCCAGATCTCATAAAATACATATGTCTAACTCATGACCACTGCCAAGAATCTTGGCATTACAATAGGAAATCCAGCCCTTGGGTGGTGGTGATAAAAGTTAATCAGCCCTAAAACAAAACAAAACACACAATAGTCTAAATGAAGCTGCCTTCACACTGTACTGTGATCAAACTTCAACTTTTGTGAACCCTTGACTCTTCCAAAACAGATGTGGAAGAAAAACAAACCAAAAAGGTTTAAAATTCTTTATCTGCACTGGTGTAGATTTGAGATGAAAAGATCCCTGATTCACTTTAGAAAAAGAAAGTATTTCCAACACAAATCTTCTTTGTTTGAGACAGGGCATCTATGAGTTAACTGTGGAGCCTCTCTTGGAACTCATTCTGTAGAACAGGCTGGCCTCAAATTCACAGAGATCTCCTTGCCTCTTCCTCTCGAGTGCTGGGATTAAAGGCTGCGCCACCACCGCCCCGCAGAAAAAAGAGAAGCATTTCCTTGTCACATTCTTAATAATCTGTTGGTAAGGCTCACCACCACATCTTGGAGAAAATGTATCCCTTTCATAGCAAAAGTGAATCACACAGGGGATAGTTACAGCACCAGTGGACATTATAGCAGAAGGGGAAGGAATCAGAATGTACTCTGATAAGGTATGCTAACAGACCAAGAGGACAAAATCAATGAAAAAAAAAATATTGTTGGCTTCGAGGTGGTGGTGCACCCCTCTAATCCCAGCACTTGGGAGGCAGAGGCAGACGAATATCTCAGAGTTGAAGGTCAGCCTGGTCTACAAAGAGAGTTCCAGGACAGCCAGGACACCAGGACTGTTATTCAGTGAAACCCTGCCTCAAAAAAAAATTAAAAACAAACAAGCAAACAAATAAATATTGATGCTTAGTTTAAGAATGCATTTAGAGCCAGCCTGGTCTACAGAGCAAGACCCAGGACAACCAGGGCTACACAGAGAAACCTTGCTCGGGGTAGAAATGCATTTAGAAATACACATATACAAACGTTTCCTATTCCTATGTTCAGAAATCAGGTTTGAGAGGCATCCTACATGAACAATTACAAAGCAAACCTCTGATATGAACAATTAAAACTGAAATTGAGAGGACTGGAGATGGCTCCGTAATTAAAGTGCTTACTGCTTTTGCAGAGTACATGAGTTCAGTTCCTGGAAACCACATAATGTAGCACAAAAAATAAAAAAAAAAAAAAAAACAGAAACAGATATTGGGGTTCAAGCTTCAAACTGAAGACAAGAGAAGCAAAGCAGCCAAACCCGTAGATCTTACCTCTGGCCAGCTGAAATAGCAATGGTGTCTCCAAGAATCCTCAGAGGCAAAAGCTCTCAGTTCCTGTCTCCTCCTGCCTTTTATTCTTTCTCAACCCACCCATTATCACTCCTGTCTCCACCTCTCTAGTGATGGGATTATAGTCATGTGATTCCAGGTGCTGAGATCATCTTTGTGTGAGCTGTTTCTTTTAGAACTGGATCAATTTCCTGTAGTCGGTGTGGCCTTGAACTAACAGAACCATCCACCTCTTTACTCAGGAGTGCTGGGATTAAAGGTGTGTGCAACTACTGCCCGGCTAGCTCGTATGGCTTTGTGACTGGCTTTGCTTTCTGAATCCTCAGACAAGCTTTAATAAATCATAATATATCACCACACATGACAGTTTACAACAGGCTATAACTCCAGCTCCAAGGAATCTGGTGCCTTCTATTCTAGCCTCCACAGGCACTGCCCTCACAAGCATAAATTCCCACATAGACACAAATACATAATCTTAGAAATAAATCTGAGGGACTGAGGCTGTGGCTCAGTAACAGAGGTTTAGTATACCTGAGACCTAGACCCAGACCTAGACCCAGCGTTTGTTCATTTTTTCTGAGACAGAATCTCACTATGTAGCTCTGGCTGTCCTGGAACTCACTCTGTAGACTAGGCTGGCCTCAAACTCAGAGATCCTCCTGCCTCTGCTTCCAAGTGCTGGGATTAAAGGTGTTTGGTACCACCACCAGCCTAGGTCCCCAGTTCTTTAAAAAACAGCAAAAGACAAACAAACAAACAAAAAGCAAGACCAAACAAAACAAAACAACTGGGTCAGGCGTTGGTGGCACACGCCTTTAATCCCAGCACTCGGGAGGCAGAGGCAAGTAGATCTCTGTGAGTTTGAGACCAGCCTGGTCTACAAGAGCTACTTCCAGGACAGCCTCCAAAGCCAGAGAAACCCGGAGGGGGGGGGGCACGACTGACCACAACTGGAAAAAACTAGAACGATGAGTGCTAAAACAAAACAAATACATGAAAATATTACCTCGGTGCTGTGCCTCATATCTGTACACCAAGCACTTGGGAAGCTAGAGAAGGCTTAGTTTGCAAGATGAGCCTTATCTACATAACAAATTTCAGGCCAGCCCAGGATAAGGTGAATTCCTGTCTCAAAAACCAAATAAATGGGCTAGAGAATGGTTCAGTGAATAAGAGTGAGCACTGGCTGTTCTTTGCAGAGGATCCAGGTTTCATTCACAACACCCACATGGCAGCTCACAACCATCATCTATACCTCCAGTTCTGGGGTATCCACACACACACACACACACACACACACACACACACACACACATCAGCATTAACTTTTTCCCCCTTTGGGTTCTCTGTGTAACAGCCCTAGCTGTCCTGGAACTCGGAGATCCGCCTGCCTCTGCATTAACATTTTCTTTTAATTCATAATGAACATTTTCTAGTTTGGGCACTGCGAATAAAACTTAACACAGTCACACTAACGTTTCTTCCTGAACGAACTGATCAGACCAACCTTACAGAGCCACTTAGCTTTTCTATTAAGTCTTATGAGTCTCAAGCACAGTTCTGCTCTCTGCGACCAGAAGCCTATAGGCCTTACAGAGTCACACTTAACTATGTTCTGACTCTTTGGCTTGGCCCATGTTGATGATAGCACATGATGCTGCTTCTACTAATGAAAAATCCTGCGAGCTAGATACAAAAGGAGACACTTTTAACCAAAAACTTCCCACTGTGTTTTGAAAAGTTGGACCTCTGAGACTAACTGGACTTAGACACCAACTAAATGGAGGCTCATGCATCACTCCTATCGCATGTATGATAACTTTTGGGTCTGAGAGAAGAGACTGATTTGACAAAAGCCTAACTGCCTTTAATCCTTAGCACTCAAGCACTCAGAAGGCAGAGGCAGTTGGATCTCTGAGTTCAAGGCCAGCCTGACCTACAAAGCAAGTTGCAGGATAGGCTCCAAAGCTACAGAAAACCCTGTCTCAAAAAACCAAAAATGTAAAAAAAAAAAAAAAAAAAAAAAAAAAAAAAAAAAAAAAAAAAAAAAAAAAAAAAAAAAGGCTAAACGATTCAGGCAAACCAATTCTCACTTTTTAACAATATAAGACATGATCTGCACAAAGACAAAACACAACGTAAATGAATAAACAACAGAGACAGCGTGTTCACTCTAGGCCTAATGCAAATCATTTGAAGACACACGGCAATAGTTCAGGGCAGCTGGTCAGAACAGAGTAGATTAAGTAATCGAACCAAAGCTGGAACAAAGTTATAAACAACATCCAAACTTTTGGAACGGTAGTCTGCACTTGAGCATCGGGACAGAGTCTGTTCTGAATTGAGGAATTAAAAGCCTTCGACTCCCACTCACCTTTCCTCCTTTTATCAATGATGTAAGGCCAGGCTGGCTCCTGAGAAAACTGATCTGGAGGTTCACTGAAGAACTGAGAGAAGTTAAAGTTTACATGGCAAAGCTGTCTCCCCGTGTGTGAACGCAGTCAAAACATTTATGACCACACGTTACTTATTTTTCTGGCCCTCCTCCTAACTATTTAAAACCGAAAGGGCTTAATTCAATTCTGGCTACTGAACAAAACCCACACACGGAACGTAGATACAAAGAATTAACACGAGATCTAAACGCCGGGCGAGTTATCTCCCAGCTCCACCAACACTAGGAAGTCATTTATGAGGAAAA